CCAGGATGTTTGGGAGTGGAACATCTCGTCGGAACAGATGTGAGGAGACGGAGGAATTGGGAAAACAATGTTTTTTGCAGGATACAGGTGGGAGGAGGTGTAGTCTAGATAACTATGGGAGTCTGTGGGTTTATAGTAAATGGCAATCTGTAACTCATCGCCAGAAATAGAAACGGAGAGGTCAAGAAAGGGGAGGGAGGTGTCTGAGATAGACTAAGTGAATTTGAGGGCGGAGTGGAAATGTGTTATTTTGGCAGTTTTCCAATCTTGTGTAATTTTCCCAGAATCCAAGCATGCTTGAAAGATTGCAAGTGCATCCACTACCTCTGCAGCTACTACTTTTAATATCCTGGGATACATTCCCTTTATATCCAGGGGATTTATTGGTCTTTAGCGTCATTTATTTCCTTCGTACTCTTTTCTCTAGTGATAGCTATTGCTTTACTACTTCTCCTTTTGCCCCATTATTTGGTAATATTTGATGATAATTTTAAGATCATTTGGTTCAATCCTTTACTTTTTCTTGAGAAATGCTTCTGCAGCTAAATTAACTAACCTTTGTCTTAGGAACTGGGGCTGTGGTCGTCATGCTTGTGCACATACGAGCCCTACTACACCATTGCCTTTTCTCTTCTCAGCATCTGCTTGCCAGCCTCAACCGCCACCCAAGTCCAAAACAATCTTGGCAGGCCGAGCAGCAGCATAGGAGCAGAAAGGCTGACGTTTCGGGCCTACACCCTTCATCAGAAAAGGGGGAGGGGGAGGGGGAGGGGAAGGGGGTTCTGAAATAAATAGGGAGAGAGTGGGAGGCAGATAGAAGATGGATAGAGGAGAGGATAGGTGGAGAGGAAACAAACAGGTCGAAGAGGCGGGGATAGGTCCAGTAAAGGTGAGTGTAGGTGGGGAGTTAGGGAGGGGATCGGTCAGTCCAGGGAGGACGGACAGGTCAAGGGGGTGGGATGAGGTTAGTCGGTAGGAGATGGGGGTGTGGCTTGAGGTGGGAGGAGGGGATAGGTGGGAGGAAGAACAGGTTAGGGAGGCGGGGACGAGCTGGACTGGTTTTGGGATGTGGTAGGGGGAGGGGAGATTTTGAAGCTTGTGAAATCAAAACGGGCTTCCTCCACCCCCCACATCCCCAGCCGTACCCAGGACCTTCCCCACAATGGGTCCGCCGCCATTGGCCATGAGGCCACTATCGGGGAACCCACAGATGACGTCACATCCGCCACCGCCGGGTTCCCCACTTCTGGGACAGCGAACACCATTGCTGCCGTTGCCACCGACACTGAAGTCGCGACTACTGTCACCGCTACTGCCGCCGCCTACCCCGCTCCTCCCACCGCCGATGCCGCTCCGCCCATCACCGACGCAGACGCAACTCCACCCACCGCCGACACCAACGTCGCTCCGCCCACAGCCTCCACAGCCAGTAGCTCTAGAGGGGACAATAGCACCCAGCCCTGCCGAGTCTTCACCATCCCCCCAGACCTACCCCTTACTGAGGACGAACAGTCAGTCCTCAGCAAAGGGCTCACCTTTGTCCCCCTCCACCCACAGATCAACGAATACCGCTCACGCTTGGACATACAGCAGTTTTTCCGCCGCCTCTGCCTCCACGCTTACTTCTTCAACCGTGAACCTAACCCTCCCTCTACTGACCCCTTCTCCCGCTTCCAACACACACCCCTCCTCCTGGACACCACCCCAAGGCCTCCTACCCTCCCTCGCCCTCTTCAACTCCAACTGCCGTCGAGACATCAATCGCCTCAACCTCTCCAACCCAACCTCTTCCCCCGCAGAACGTGCAGCCCTCCGCTCCAATCCCAACCTTACCATAAAACCTGCGGACAAGGGAGGTGCAGTTGTAGTATGGCGCACTGACCTCTACATCGCCGAGGCCAGACGCCAACTCTCCGATACCACCACCTACCGCCCCCTTGATCATGACCCCACCCCTGAGCACCAAACCATCCACAACCTGGTCACCTGAGGTGACCTCCCACCCACGGCCTCCAACCTCATCGTTCCCCAACCTCGCACTGCCCACTTCTATCTCCTTCCCAAAATCCACAAACCTGAATGCCCTGGTCGACCCATTGTCTCCGCCTGCTCCTGCCCCACCTAACTGATCTCCAACTATCTGGACTCCATTTTCTCCCCCTTGGTCCAGGAACTCCCAACCTATGTCCGTGACACCACCCACGCCCTCCACCTCCTCCAGAACTTCCAACTCCCCGGTCCCCAACACCTCATCTTTACCATGGACGTCCAGTCCCTCTACACCTGCATTCCCCATGCAGATGGCCTTAAGGCCCTCCGCTTCTTCCTGTCCCGCAGGCCCGACCAGTCCCCCTCCACTGACACCCTCATCTGCTTAGCCGAACTCGTCCTCACCCTCAACAACTTCCCTTTCAATTCCTCCCACTTCCTACAGACAAAGGGGGTGGCCATGGGTACCCGCATGGGCCCAAGCTACACCTGCCTCTTTGTAGGTTACGTGGAACAATCCCTCTTCCGTACCTACACTGGCCCTAAACCCCACCTCTTCCTCCGTTACATTGATGACTGTATCGGCGCCGCCTCGTGCTCCCACAAGGAGCTCGAACAGTTCATCCACTTCACTAACACCTTCCACCCCAATCTTTAAGTGTACCTGGACCATCTCTAACACCTCTCTCCCCTTCCTGGACCTCTCTGTCTCCGTAGCGGGCAAACACCTACAAACCGATATTCATTTCAAGCCCACCGACTCCCACAGCTACCTAGAATACTCCTCCTCCCACCCACCTTCCTGCAAAACTGCTATCCCCTATTCCCAATTCCTTTGCCTCCGCCGCATCTGCTCCCAGGATGAGGCATTCCACTCCCGTACATCTCAGTTGTCCTCGTTTTTCAAGGACAGTAACTTCCACCCCTCAGTGGTCGTGTCTCCCACATCTCCCACAACTCATCCCTTACACCCCGTCCACGCAATAAGAACCAAAAAAGAATCCCCCTCGTCCTCACGTACCACCCCACCAACCTCCGGATCCAACGCACCATCCTCCGACACTTCCGCCATCTGCAATCCGACCCCACCACCAAAGACATCTTTCCCTCCCCACCCTTATCTGCTTTCCGGAGGGACCATACTCTCCGTGACTCCCTTGTCCGCTCCACACTCCCCTTCAGCTCCACCAGACCCGGCACTTTTCCCTGCAACCGCAGGAAGTGCTACACCTGCCCCCATACCTCCTCCCTCGCCCCCATACCTCCTCCCTCACCCCCATCCCAGGCCCCAAGAAGACTTTCCACATCAAGCAGATGTTCACCTGCACATCTGCCAATGTGATATACTGCATCCGCTGTACCCGGTATGGCTTCCTCTACATCAGGGAAACCAAGCGGAGGCTCGGGGACCGCTTTGCAGAACACCTACGCTCGGTTCGCAATAAACAACTGCACCTCCCCGTCGCGAACCATTTCAACTCCCCCTCCCATTCCTCAGACGACATGTCCATCCTGGGCCTCCTGCAGTGCCACAACGATGCCACCCGAAGGTTGCAGGAACAGCAACTCATATTCCGCTTGGGAACCCTGCAGCCCAATGGTATCAATGTGGATTTCACAAGCTTCAAAATCTCCCCTCCCCGTACCGCATCCCAAAACCAGTCCAGCTCATCCCCGCCTCCCTAACCCGTTCTTCCTCACACCTATCCCCTCCTCCCACCTCAAGCCACACCCCCATCTCCTACCGACTAACCTCATCCCGCCCCCTTGACCTATCTGTCCTCCCTGGACTGACCTATCCCCTCCCTAACTCCCCACCTACACTCACCTTTACTCCCCGCCTCTTTGACCTGTCTGTCTCCTCTCCACCTATCCTCTCCTCTATCCATCTTCTATCCGCCTCCCACTCTCTCCCTATTTATTTCAGAACCCCCTTTTCTGATGAAGGGTTTAGGCCCGAAACGTCAGCCTTTCTGCTCCTATGATGCTGCTCGGCCTGCTGTGTTCATCCAGCCCTGCACCTTGTTGTCTCGGAAT